TAAAATAATAAATATCATCATCATAAATATAAATTATAATTGAAATAATCATGATAATAATAAATAATAATCATAATAATAACCATAATAATAATCATCAAAAAAAAATAATAATAATAATAATAATAATAATATATTCATAATCAACATAAATTATAACAATTATAATGATAATCATGTTCATTTTAATATTAAAGCATAATAAAAATAGCAAGATCCTAGGCATGATACTAACAAGATTAATAACAAACCCTAGCATGATACTAACAATCATAAATATTAGGAAGAACATAGGAAGCATCGCAGGAATCATAATAAGCGTATTTGATATTATAACCTTTTCCCTAAACATGATACTAGGAATATCATAATAACAATATAAACATGATTTCTACATCATAATATCAATTAAAGCCATTAAAGCACTTACTTTGATGCCTCGTACCTCTTTCTAATAACGAAATACACACGTTAGTAACTTCAAGGAAAATAATAATCAAACAATTAAATTAAATAATTGAAAGAGAGATTTGGGACCAAACCCTCAGAAATTAAACCTTTCACGTCTAGGCGAAGGCAACTTCGAATATGGCTAGGTGTTTCTAAATCTAATGAATGCGAAATTTTGTATATGAAAACAAAGTTTAGAGAAAGAAAGAAAGAATTGAATGATTATAGAAGAGAATTAGAGAGAATTGATGATGAATGAAAACTGATTGTAGGTGAATATTCGTGAGAATTGGTGAATGAAAACGGAGTTTTTAATACGTTATTTATAGAGAAAATCAGCCAAAAATATAAATTAACAAAATAGAGCACTTGGCGCACGCAAAACGAGGTTGGCGCACACAAAACTGAGCTGGCGCCAGCACCAGCTAATTGGCGCCAGGCGCCAATTGCTAGCACCAGGCGCCAATTGCTAGCACCAGGCGCCAATGGCTGGCGCCAGGCGCCAAGCCTAGTTCCAGGCGCTAATGCCTGGAGACAGGCACCAGACCTGTTTTTGACGCGTTTTTGAAAATCAGATAAGTTTGCCGTACTGGAGGATAAAATCGTATCTTTTCCTCGAAAATGCTATTTGATTTTAATTAAAACTCTGAAAAGTCAACAAAAGTCAATTTATCAATGCTAATTGAATTAGGAATGAAAAGAACCTTCTAGAAGAATCTAGAAGACTAAAACCATTCCTAATTGCATTAGGAATGATAAATCATATTCGGCCATCCCCTAGATCATTGGGCCGCATATAAAGCTCAAACCGGGCCCAGTTCAGTAATTTGGCCATAACTTCCTCAATATTCATCGGAATCGGGCTTATAATATATCGTTGGAAAGCTCTTGTCAAGCCCCATCCAACTAAAATACTATTGGACCCATGTCATGGACCAACCAAACTGGATGTGCTGTTTTCTTAAAATAATTTCAAAGACAGAGAGAAGAGAAAATAAATTAAAACTATCCGCAACACTAGACTATCCACACTTTCGCTTCATTCGATTATGATTCGACATGAAAGGTACTCATCACTGGGTTTGGTTTTGGGGAGACACAAATGGGTGTCTACACCAGCAACGACACATGTTCCACCATTCAGCCTCATCATCGAGACCCCAGGGACGACCCGGGTAGTGAAGGAGTAGGCCAGGATACCCCGGCGTTTGTTTAGCCTAGATTTTGTTTATTTAGTATGGACATCTACTTAATTTGAATTATGTAGCTTTTGATTATGTTCCCGCTTTTGTGGACATGACTATATTATGTAGCTTTTGATTATAATCAACTTCTTCTTAGCTTTTATAAAAATATATATATAAATATTTCCGTAATTTGATTATTATTTTAATTATAAGAGGAATAATTAGGTGCATGAGTATAGGTTTTGAATGATGCTTATTTTTTAAACTATAAGTCTGAATTTATTGAATTCAAATCTTATTTCCAATGGAAATACTATAGCTTAAATCCGTCGGAAATACTCATTTGCGACGGAATTACTGGATAGAAATCCTTGCAAAAATCAAACATTGCGAAGGGTTATATTAGCGACACTTGTTTTTGTCGTAAATTTACGACGGAATTCTTTCCCTCGCAATGATTTTTTTTGCAGCGGAAACATTCCGTTGGAAATAACTGGTTTACGACCGACTTTTCGTCGGAAAAACAAATCAACGACGGAATATATCCACCGGAAAATAGCGACGGATTTAGAATAAAAGTCAAAATCAACATCGACATAATTAAATCCGTCGAAAAGTGGTTTCCGACGGAATTTTCCTCAAAAATTTCACTTTTTCCCACGAACTGTTTTCCGACAGACCGTAACGACGGAATCCGTCGGAAAGATGATTTCCGACGGATTTTTAACTTACCGACGGATATCTTCGGTCAGAAAATGGCCTAATTCTATTAGTGTCCAAGATTAAATCGAATATTTATTCCTTCGGCAATGGAGAATCAGATATTGATATTTTCACTAATAAATATACTCTTTCATTGTGGTCTGCCATTGAAGTTAAAATGAGGAGAGTGAAACTGAGGGGTAATGAGATTGTGATTATATTACAGCTGCAAGTGAAAAAACCTAGTTGTCGCACAAACAATTGGGTTCGAAAGTTCGCACCCAATTGTTTGTGTTGAAAATAGTGTTGGGCTCAAAATCTTAGATTGTGTGTTTCATTGTTTTGCTCGGTTTTTGCTTTTGCTTCCAGGACATTTAAACTTTATATGATCTTGGGTGGAACTTTATTTGTTTTAAATATATGAGCATAAATTATGTAATTATATGTGCATAAATGGGTTACAACTTACAAGATTATGCCTATTTTTTTCCAAGTACAATATACAATCCTTTTTTTCACAAAGAGTACTATTAATGAAAAACATGATTATAACCTAAGCTAAGTAAAGAAAGCATACATGATAGAACATTAGGGGTTGGACCAAATAACTTTTTACGATTAGGAAACCAAGTATACTCAGTGGGACTTGATGCTAATCTTTTAGAGCCGCTTAACCTGCAAAACAAGGTGTTAGAAAAAAGCCGGGAGACCTACTTTGCAGAGAGGCATATTTCCTTCTAAATCTTGGACGGGAAGTGAAGACGAGACAGAACCCAACAGAATTTCTGAGGACATTGTTGGGCGAACGAAAGGCTGCAGAGGGGAAGAAACCGGCGTAATTGGTGGGAGTGTTTATGTAGCTTCACATGATGACCCGTGACTTGCCAAACCTATGGTTAGATCTTCTTGCATCAAATCTGGAGTTGTTTCACACCTATCATGCCCTTTCACAGGGGGGTGACTAAACTCCGTTGGTGTAGAAACTTCCCGAGTTTCACCATGATCCATCTTCTTTAACGGATTGGCGATTCGGATGGTAATGAAATTCTTTTGGAGAGAAAAATAGAATTGTAATGTTCGCGCTTTGGAAATCACTCCATACATTGTTGGAGTGAGATGCAAATAGGAATTAGTTCGCTTCCGGCTTGAGAACCAAAAACTTGACCCTGTGAGATTTGGGTTTTTTATGTCTGAAGTTCCCTTTAGGACACAATTGTTATTAATAACATCGGGCCTAAGATCTTGGTCGGTAGGGTTGACTTTACCCTCCAAATCCAAAGAATTGCCATCAACGTTCTTTTCCATTTTGGTGTTGTCTTTAACACCTATACACCTTCGAACATGACCATCACCACGACCATCTCCATCCTTTCTTTTTCCCTTTTTTCCTAACTTCCTAAAATTATCTCCCTTCCCAAAATGAACATAATCTCTAAACTTCTCATCCTCCATTGTTACTGCAAGTGCCTCATCAACGAACTTCTGAGACCAACCCAATAAGGATATCACCTCCTATAGTTTTTGTTGGAGCTCATAATTATTGGAATCTATTTTTAAGGCTTGTGGAAGATTCATGAAAGCTAAGGTAGGTTTATTAATCTCTAACGCCGCAATCGCTCTTTTGAAGTAGGCTTTCCCATTAGTAGTATCGAAACACAAAACCGCAGAACATAATTGACCCACTCCATCGTAGTCTTTCACCTTGATGAAGCAAGCATGCAAGTTTAGATTAAGGGACAAGCTATGCCCGAAAACAATAATTTATCCTTATCACTACAAACCGAAGCAAAGGATAATATCTTAAGAGCAAGAGTGTATTTTGCAATAGCAGACCCTATTTGATTTTGCTTGTAGAGCATGTTTCCCTCATCTTTTAAAGTCTTAACAAAATTGAGAATACCAAACGAATTCTCCAATTGTCCAACTATAAACTCCAACTCATGAGAAGAGACACCATTCTCCTCAACAAGAGAAATGCACAACATCCCCCTTAGTTCCTCAAAGCTAGCCATTAAAACTTAAAAGAAACAAATATAAACACCAAAGAAAAAGCTAAAACTAAAACACTAAGCTTTCCTTAATTACACAAAGTACTAACCATACCTAAAAGAAGAGAAAGTCGGCGAAGAAGGGACCTGTACTCGGCTTCGTCTTCACCAACGTAACAAAGGAAGTAACTGGAAGCTTAAAGAAGAAGGTGAACAAACAAACCTGTGAACATAGAAACTAGTTGCAAGAGGAGACCGAAGAATGAAGAATCCCTCAATTATTGAAACCCTAACCTACCTATACTCTGAAAAATCAAAGAGTATGGATTAGTCGGAGGAGCAAACGGTGTCCAACCAAGCTTGTAACCTTAAAGGACTGCTCGCCGGCGACCTTAAAGAGCAGCGACGCTCAGGCCACCGGCGGCAGGGGATAACTACAAGGGGGATTCTGTTTTAGGAGAGAAGGCAGAGCCTTTTTTTTTAGAGAGTTTTTTTAGTATACAATATACAATCTTTATTAGCATAAAGATGACAAAATTAACCAAAACTTTTATAAGTCGGATCAAAATTATTTCTTACATGTTACCTTCGAAATCTACTAGATTACTATGATATATTTGATCAGTTCCAGAATTTCAAAACATAACTTGATAGCAAAACTACAACATATTGATTGATGACCAAAACAAATTCACCCAAATAGTTAGATAAGAAACTTATTAGGCAATTCAATGGCATGCAAGCCATACAAAATACATCGATCATGCTCTTGATAATACATGAAATATATTTTGGATACTACTCTTGATACATCATGGATTATTGCCCTCGTTGAGCCTGGCAGCTGCAGCCACTGATGCTGCAACGCCACCTGGGCGGGTTGCTACATTTGGGTTGTTCCTCAGTTCGGCACTCACCACTCCTTCAGCATCATGCCTCGTCGCTTCCTTATCAGCTGGCAGCTTCATGGTTGCATTCTGTTCCAACAAGGAAGTTTATTAAAAATTAATGCAGCTATTATGTATATGCTTATAAATAAAAGGTATCGCCCTCTAATCTATACTATTTTATTGATAAGTAATTCAGTTTATCATATTAGACAATACTAAGCTAGCTTCCTCCGTTCTTAAATATTAGCAATTTGACTTGAACACTTTTTATGTGTTAACTTTGAGGTCTTCAACTACACTTTTATTTTACCTTTCTCAAACCTTATGTTTTCATTAACACTCTCTTAAATTTTTCTTGAATTTTATTCATGATTTTATTTTATAATTCTCTTAATTTTTCTTAAATACTATTTCGTTTACTCATTTTACTCACCTTTTTTCAAACTCTTTTAAATGAGAAAATACAAGTTTATATATCAATATGATAAACAAAATCTGTTCATCAAATGACAAAATGGTAAATAAATCAACAAATTTTTATTAAATATAGGCCCCACTATTGTTGATATATTTACGAAAATGTCATGATAACTGGGCATTTATGTTATTTTATTTACCATTTTGCCATTTGATAAACAAATTTTGTTTATCAAATTGTTTAATTGGGACTTCCTCCTTATCTGAGAATTTTATTATGTCCATTCCTTATAACGATTCATGTTAACCGACCCCAAATCTTTTTCTGAAACTAAGGCTTTGTTATTGTTGTAATTTCACTTTATATTTTCAAAAAAAATATTTTTCAAATTTAGGATTAAACTGTGGGTTAGCATAAATGGGTGCAGAATAGCGAATAATATGTTCCATTATTTAAAGTAAAACATTACACACATTAGCAATTATTTTACAACCAATTATTATAAAACGAACCAAAGACACATTAAATTAAGGCCAAAGGAATATATTTGACTGTTCAATCTAGATGAAGTCATGAAGATCAGAGTAATAGTAATATATACTTAATTCACGTACCGTCAGAACATCGCCTAACTTGACTTTGTCTTCGTCACGAATCGTCTGAGCATTTATAGAAGCGGCAGCCTGAGCGGCAGAAGCCACCCCACCAGGCACCACCACATTGTTGCCAGTGGCCCTAACCTCGGCTGCTTGGATAGCCGAGGCATCGCTTTGCTCCACTGGTTTGTCTCCGGCTGTTAGTGCAACCGCTTCTAAAGCTTCACCTATGGTAACCTTAACGGTCGCACTATTCCGTCCTTGTATTAGACTCCCTTGTTCACCTTGCACTAACGGCCTAGATTGTATTGTTTGCCCTACAACCTACAAGTGCACACCAACATTTTAAATTTAATTACGTATGAATGTATGATAGTGCAATCATATTACTTTTAGATATATTTAGTACTAGTAAGTAGTTAATGGAAAATTTGTTAGAATAACGAGAGAAAAATATAAATCAGCACTATCTTTAGATAGCAAAGATGGATGTACATGTGCATTACTTAGGCCCTGTTCTATTAATCCTTTTTCACTTTTTTCAGATCTAATAAATTCTTATAAGTTCAATTAAGGTCAGAAAAAATATGTTTCTTATAAGTTATTAGGATTACCCTGGTTCAAATCTATCTATTTATCTATATAATATACTAAAAACAAGCACCTCGATGTGAGACTGCCAAATGTCTTTTTATGATTCTTTGTCTTATTTTATTTTATTTTTTATTTTTTATTTTTGATTATACATTGATGTTTTCATATAAAAAAATCTATTTATATTATACTAAAAGATAAGCACCTCAATGTGAGACTGACAATACAAATGTCTTTTTATGATTCGTCGTCTTTTTTTACTTTTTTTATTTTTTATTTTTGATTATACATTGATGTTTTCATATAAAAAAAATATATATTAAATATCTTATTCTAAATAATTACATAAACTATTGTAGTAAAGTCTAGAAATATCATTTCTCAAATAAAAAGAAAGTGTTAGGATTATATTTTGGGAATTTGTCTTTATCGATACTCGATAGCATACTAACATAGAGTGATATTTCTTTTCTTATAATGTAATTAGTTACTACTTCCTCCGTTCTTTTTTTATTGCGCTATAAGGGGTTTTACGCTTGTCAATGCATTATTTTGGCTATTAATATCTTTAATTATACTTTTGTAAAAATTATAAAAAATTAATATTTGAAAAGTAGATTTCAAGACTAATCTAATTAGATCCCACATGACTATGTTTTTCCTAATAGATAAATTACAAGAGATGGTCAAAGAAGATTAAATAAATACTGTAAAAGACCTTATGGTGCAATAAAAGAAAAACGGAGGAAGTATAATAGATAGTCGTGATAATGGTCAGAGAATCTATTATAGTAAAGTCCAAAAATATTATTTTTCAAATAAAAAAAAGGTCTAGAAATATAATAGTAGCATTAAACGGTAAAAATAAAATATTCTAAAAATATTAAAGTAAAATTAAAATATTCAAATAATAAAATAAGATACAATATTTTTGTATTATCATCTATATAAATAATAGTCATTGTCATAGTCATATCAGTCTTTACACTTTTTTATTTTAAGGTGATATTATATATCAATATTACGTAAAGGTTAATATATTGTTCTTCAATACGACATTCACTATATGATATTTGACCTCACCCCTCTTAAAGAATCACGGTGAATAAATTATACTTCTTTCGTTCTATTAATAATATTGCAACAATGGACTTTTTGCACTATTCATCACTCTTGTTTGACCATATAATATGAGTTATACGTTAAGCAAAATATAGTGAAGTGGGATATTGTTGGATTCGTCTTATAAAATACTTTCACAATATCAAGTTTTTATATTTTTTACTCTTACACAATGATAGATATTTAGCATATAAAATGTGTTTTGGGATGCGTAATTTTCTTTTTGTTGTAATATCAACATAACGGAGGAAGTATTAACTTAGATTTAAAAAATATATATCTAATGTAATTTTAGATTAAGGCCCCGTTCACTTTACCTACCTTATTTTTGTTGACTAAAATTATTTTTACTGAAACAAAAATATATTTGCTGAACTTAAATTAATTTTACTGAACTGAAATTATTTATTTTGAATTGAAATTATTTTTACTGATTTTCTATTATAATTCTTCTTTAAGAAAAATGAATTTTACTGAACTAAAATTAATTTTACTGAACTGGACTTATTTTTACCAAACATAAATTATTGTTTCTGAAGTGAATGGTATGGTAAGAAAATTTTAGTTTTTATCAACGAGAGGTAGGAAATGATTTAGTCTACTTCAATTATATAGTTATGTGGAGCAAAATTCATTTATTTTTTAACTAAAAAAAATTACTATACAAAAAAATGGGAATAAAATAAAATAAATACAAATGACGTATTAATTTGTTAGTGAAATGGAGCCCATTATTACTAATTGAATTATATGTGTTAGTTTTTTTCCTTACTAGATTAATAATGCTTTTTTAAAAAAATTAATAAATCTATACTTAGTATTTATAAACTATAACCAAAGAAAACACATGTCACCATCCTATTACACTTCAATATCTTTTTCTCTAATCCAAATGTCACATGTCTTCTTACATTATTAATTAATTTTTTATTACACTATATTAGTATATTTCTTTAATTCTTTCATTAAAAACTTATATATATATGCTTCATCTTCCATATATATTTTATCTTCATCTCCCCTCTTCAATTCAACCTTTTGTTTTTCTCTATTTAATTTTAACCCCTCTTTTAATTAATCCTCATTTTCAATTACAATTCAAAAAATTAAATTTCTTTAATCATATTTTTTATCACACATTATAACTATAGTGGCTTATTGATTTTCATCTTTCAATGCATTATTTTATGAATAACCCGTGCATTGTACGGGTCAGAAGGCTAGTTGATTTATAAATCGTGCATCGCACAGACACTAGGCTAGTTATAACTAAATATGTTTAGATAAGTTCACTTAATTAAATGAAAATTAGTTGAATAGAAGACACCCTTAATTTTTTTAAAAAATTATAATTGTATCCAAAATATGAGATCATCGCCTATATCATTTGTCCTTTGACCCTAGATACATCAAAAACAAGGCAAAAACAAAAGTTTTGGGCTCGTGCAGGCTTAAGTAAGATATAGACTAATTATTGTAAACTTGTTTCATACAATCAGAGTAGATACGGCCATACACTTATATCGGCCCGTTCATTTCACTTTACAAAAATAATTTTTAATCAAAATAATTTCAATTCAATAAAAATAATTTCAATTGAGTAAAGATAAGTAATATTAAATAAGAAATATAGTAGATTATCAATAAAAAAAATAAACAAATAAATAAATAATCAGCTTAGTAAAAAACTAATTTTATTTTAGCAAAACTAAAGTGAAGTGAACGGAGCCTGTATGAAAATACTAAGTGATACGCATACCTGTCCACCAATAGACTCGGTAATAACAACAGCACCAGGAACAGAAGTTTCAGTGACAGTAACACCCTGCTGCGCAGCCAGATCCGAGGCGGTAGCATGGCTAACAACACCAGCTCTTTCATTAACAGTGGCAGCAGACTGCATGGTGGCAGCAGGACCACCCTTCTGAGTCTGCCCGAATACCGCGTTTTCAGCAGTCTGCATCATCGCAGCATCTCTTGGTGCTGTTGGCTTTGAGGCCAACTCCCCTGCCACCGGGAATACATCGCCGTATCTTACAGGCTTCGCGCCTTGGCCTTGTTGCTGCTGTTCTTCCTTATCTCTTTGAGGCTGTTTTTGACTCATTTTGCTAATTATTGAATTAGTTACTACAATATTAAACACTAAACTTTGTTGGGAAATGATTTATCTTGGAAATTAAACTCGATGTTTGAGTGAATAAATCTTAGGTGGTGGATGGTAAAGTTTAGAAGGCTTTTGGGAGGAAGAAGATGATGACACATAGCATTTCTAGTTCCATTTGGCAAGATTGTGCTAGTGCAGCTGGATAGAATTTTACACGCACCTTGTTCACAGGGTAGTTCTAATGATTGATGATGAGTATTCTTGTAGCGTTCATCGGATTTGAATTTTAAACGAACACTTTGACTGACATTTTTTTTTTTTTTTTTTTAAACAAAAGATACTATTAAAGAAAAGCATAATTACAACCAAATACTAACTAAAACAAAAAACACTTAACATCCTACGCACACTAAGCACCATTACAGGAAGATCGAAGAGAACCAAATATTGAAGTAGTCTTGCAACAAACCAATAACTGTGGAGCCCAGACAAACCATAAGAACCGAACTACATCCAAAATGTGAACTAAGAGAAACCAAATGAACCGAAGCAGTCGAGATGGACTAAAAGCGCAGAACACTAATATTGAAGAGCAAGGGCGGATCCAGAAATTTTTTACAGCCGGGTCGAAGTTATAAAGCATTTCAAATAATAAAGCCATAAATGGATATGAGTTTAAGAGATCCACACTAAAAAAAATGTGCAAATAAGGGGAATTGAACCATTAACCTTCCCAATCTATGAAACAAGTAACTAACCAACTAAGCCAACTATAAAACTTGAATACTTATACAAGATTTTTTATTTATATAATATCAAAATCTGGGCATTGGGGGGGCCAAGGCCCGGGTAGGCCCCCCTGGATCCGTCTATGTTGAAGAGAACCCGAGCTGGCACTGAAAGCGAAGGGAACTCGTGATGGAAACAGTAGAGAGACGGAAGAACCTGAAGAATGCACCCTGTTGCTGAGGAACGTACTTGTGACACCATTCCAATCTTATGGAACGAAAAACATAACTACCTCCTAGGAGTCAGGGAACAAAACCTATAGAGTCATATACCTCAATGACTCTATGAGAAACCGTGCATCCAAATGCAGGTTCTCCTCTTGCAGTTCTAGCAACGGAGAATGCAAGAAAATGGAGGACTTTGCTTAACCCAAGCATTAAAGATAGGTAGCCTCCTTCAAGATATTGTTTAACAGTGATGACTTACCTTGTCATCATCACCCAAACTAACCAAGGGATGATAGCAATTGATTAAATGCCCTAATCATCCCACAAGCGAGCAACAAGACCTGCAAACCAAACTCCTCCCTTAAAACCACCCTCCTCCTGCAAACTCCATAAGCAGGGAAAACTATCCAATTGCGCAAATAACTTTTCCCCCTGGGTAACTATTTCAACTACCAGGGGAACACCTTCACATCCCGACAAGACTACTATTGGGACCATTCACCTAACGTAAAAGGGTTTACTTAATCTTACAACCCTCATAACCCACCAACTAGGCTCCAAAGACCATTACAACACTTCGATAACTTCCAAAACATGAACTAGTCTATGATACTCTAACTCAAGACTAAGCAGAGAAAGAGAATTGTTAAGTAACAACAACCCAAGCAACAAAACATACAACTTATACAAAAACATCATAACTGAACTAAAACAAAACTAATAACAATTAAAAGAACAAGCATACAAAATGGTGAAACATCAGAGGAGAAGGCCTAGAAAACCTGAAAAACCTCAACGGTAGCAACCCCACCCTACACCACGACCAACCGTCCACGACAACACAAGAACCCCTCACTGAACCAAACCTTGGATACGCGAGGGAACCCTAACCTTAACTTCACCTTTACCGTCGAGAATTAATTAACGAAATTCCTTTCAACGACGGCGTTAAAGCTAGCCTTTGGTTCTTGATTTGTAGAAGCAAGCCGAAAAACACTCGACGGTGAACCACTTACACACAACCACGACCGAAGAGGACCCCCAAATTCACACCAACTGACCAAAAGGTGAAAATTAAAAGGTAGAACAGAAAATTAAAGCAAAAAACGAAAGAGACATCAAGGCTGGGCTCGCAAGCGACGACTAGGCGGAGCGCGCCACTCGCCGGCGAGCAGGGGCTGAGAAATAGAAGGGCGGTGGAGGCGGTGTAAGACAAGATTGGGGGTTAGAGAGAGAAAGGGTCGAGATAATTCTTTGTTTCATCTATAACGTTTGACTGACATGAAACTTAAGGGACTATAATAAAACCTATCTATACTGTATCTCTTTCTTATAAGTCAAGTATGGGTTGTGATAATGTTTCTTTGAGAAATCCAATTTATCTTCTTGATAAGAGACTAGTGAAACGCTAAACATCGCCCACAAATTACCATATAAAGCCCACAAATATGTTATGATTTGACCATTATGCCCTTTTGCTAAAATTGAGATAATCTCGGTGTAAAAAATGTGGAGCCGTATTGGCTCGTCGGGGGAGACCGGATGGCAGGCCGGAGATGCGGGGGACGCCGGAGGTACGTCGTCGTCGACGGAAAACGAGGTAAGTGACCGCTAAAATTCACGGTTTACCGTCGTAGTGGCTACGGCACCTAGGGTGGACGCCCAAACCGTAGCCTAGACGTCCAAGCCGGACGCCAGAACCACCAGAGTGGCGTCCAGGCTAGACGCCCAGACCACCAGAGTGGCGTCCAGCCCAGACGCCCAGACCACCAGACTGGCGTCCTGGGCAGACGCCACTCCACTGGGTGAGGCGGCCCTGCCAGGCGCCAGTCCAGTGGGTGTGGCAGCCCTGGCAGACGCCACCTTTAATAATTAAATTTTATTTTTTCCTTTTTGATTTTGTTGTTGTTTTTTATTTAATTTTTTTGTGAAAATAAAAAATCGAAAATGATTTTTTAAAAAAATTCGAAATGGGTTTTTTGTAAATTAAATTTGAAAATTCGAAATAGGTTTTTTTAAAATTAAATTTGAAAATTCGAAATGGTATATTTTTAAATTTAGTTTGAAAATTCGAATTGGGTTTTTTATAAAAATTAAGTTTGATTATATATAATTATGTGGAAATATAGAAATTAAATGTATTATCCGTTAAATGTATTTATTGTAATATATAATTGATGCAGGAATATGGTGGAGACGGAAATGATTACAGTGAGGTATTTGGACATGATGGTCCATTCGAAGAAGCTCAACAGGCGATTGATTGGGCAAAACAGGTTGCAATTGCAGCTGGATTTTGCTTGGTAGTAGCAACTCATAAATCTCAACGGGATGGTAGAATGGATCGCATTTTGAGATGTGACCGTTATCGCAAAAGAGAAGAAAGAGATTTTCGTACAGCCACTCGGTTTGACACAAAGCGGAAAGGTTGTGGGTGTGAGTTCAGAGTAAAGGTTCGACAACTACGGAGTCGTGACGGTTGGGAAGTGATAGGTTACTCTAAATGGGGGTATCACAACCATGAGATGATAGTATATGAAGAGGGTCATCGACAACTGAGCGGCTTAAGTCCTGCTGCGAAACTAGTTGTGAAAGAAATGAGTGATGCTCAAGTGAAGCCTGCTAAAATATTAGCATCTGTGTTAGAGAAATTTCCAGAAGACCATCCAAACCGAAGACACATCTACAACGTCAGACAGCAACTCAGGTTTGAACGGTCAGAGGGAAGGAACCCTATACAGCAGCTGCTACACCAGGCACAATCACGTGGTTACCTGTTCTGGTTTGATTCTGATGAAGATACAGCGGAGGTGACTCATCTTTTCCTTGTGCATCCTGATTGTGCTGATATGATCAAGTCTTGGCCATTTGTGATTTTGATCGACTCAACGTACAAGACAAACAAGTACAAGTTCCCTCTGGTTGAGATGGTTGGGATGGCTCCAACGAACCAGAACTTTCTGATTGGTCATGCAATCATCAGGGATGAGACGGCTCCAAGTTATTATTGGGTTTTGGAGAAGCTGAGAAACTACATCGGGCCTAATGTTCATCCAGCAGCCATCGTCAGCGACTGTGAGGGAGGTCTCTTTGCCCCCATAGCAGAGCTGTTTCCCGAATCGAACCACTTATTGTGCACATGGCACATCAACAACTGCGTGAAAGTGAAAGCCTACAACCTTTTCAAGAAGAATTTGGAAATGGCAGAGAGATTGGTGAATGGTAAGTGGCGGAAGATCCTACAGGCTACCACAGAGGAAGCGTATGAGCGAGCATTGGCTAACTTCAGGGATTCGTACCAGTGGTGTCCGGCACTGGTGGACTATGTGATGCATCAATGGGTCCCTCATAGGGAAAAGTTTGTCAAATATTGGACAAACCAGGTACTTCATTTTGGGAACACTACAACATGTAGAGTTGAGAGCGCTCATAGAGCTACCAAGGACTGGATTGATTCATCGACCGCTGCTTTGGATACACTGTTCGCTAGACTGAACAAGTCAATTGAAACTCAGAAGAACGACATCAGGAACTCTCTAGAGGACTCCAGACGACGACATGGTACGATGTATAGCCATTTTATATTTAAGATTCTCCATGGTCGTGTGTCGCACTACTGCTTGGGGTTGATTCTCACTGAGCTGAACAGGGTGAGGGACTTGGCTGACGAAGTGTATACTCGGTGTGGGTGTACTATTTTAGTAACTCATGGATTACCTTGCGCATGCACCATTCATCGCGTTATTACAGAAGAAAGGGCGTCGTTACATGTTGATCAGGTCCATTCATTCTGGAGGACGCTTGTTATTGGTGAGCATGCAGACAATCAAACGGCCGACCGTGAACAGGAAGAGTTGGAGCAGTTCCGTTCGATGTACGACCGAGTGTCCTCCAGCCATCCTTCTATTATTTGTGACGCTACTCATGTGCTTCATGACATGTTCCACCCGTCTAACTTAGATTATGAGGAACCCGAAGGAGTTGACCGTCCTCGAGGTCGACAGCGGCGGAACAGGAGTGCGTTTGAGTATATCCGTGGTCATGGTCGTGGTCGTTCTCGTGGTCGGACATCGTCATCTAGTCGTAGTCAATCTTCATCGTCTGTGAATATGCCCCTGAGAACTGGTACGTTTTGGTTGTTTTTATTGCACATAGTTTTAAAGTGTTACTCCTGTCTTCTTAACTGTCTATAATTAATTATTTGGTGAATAGGAAGAAACGATGTTGATCAGTTTCCGTACAAGGAAAGGATACCTGCGATCATCATGTCGTACGTGGAAGGGTGGAATGATGTAATCGGAGATGGTAACTGCGGATTCCGAGTCGTGGCTGATGTTTTTCAAATGGGCGAAGACAACTACGGTTTGGTGCGTGAGTTGATGTACAGCGAAATTGCCTCTAACCGAAATGTTTATCGTCATGTGTACCAGGATGACTTGGATGGCGCTCTCCGACGTATCCGGTGGGGAGGTGGACCTTGCGGCGAAAATCATTATTTTGACGCGCCCCTAGATCTGTTTGCCGTTGCAAACATTTACAAATGCGCAGTCATGCATTTCGGCCTGGGAGTGCATAGTCAAGCTTATTATCCTTGTACCACGGTTCTCCCTTGGCGGTCGCGTGAGACTGTCACCACACCGGTCAGAGAGCTAGCTATTGCGTTTCTTGGGTCGTCATACAGACATTTCATCCGACTAGACATGTCAACCGATTTTCCGGTGCCACCGATTATACCTCGGTGGTACAACATTCGCACAGCGAGCGTAGAGGGTTGGGATGCGCTATATAATGACCGGATCCACGAATGGAACACCCTAGCTGCATTTTAGTTTTTCTTGTTTACATTCTTTATTTGTAATCTTATTTGTACGTTGCTCTTTTAATGAGAACATTAATATTTTATATTGTATTGCTTACTGCATTCTATATGTTGCATGGGTAAGTTGCGCGGATCCACGAACGGTTATATCAAAATTTAAAAACAGCACTGATAATATGTTTAAGTTGGAAGCTAAAAGAACAATCTAAAATGTTACAATTTTACAACATAATGTCCAACATAATGCTCTATAAATAAAATACAATAACCATCAGTAATCCCTCCTCGACGACGACTCCCACTGCGCAAGGGTCTGTTCCAGACTATCAACAACAGCTCTCCCTGTTGCACTCATGCTGTCCTTCTCAAGAGAGAGTTTCTGAACGTCTTGCATTATCTTTCCCATCCACTGCATACAACAAAAAACAGAAGATGAAATACAATAACAACAAATAAAACTTAATTAAAAGACAACGATAAATATAATAAAAGACATACCGCTTCCGTGGCAGTAGGCGGTGGCACATAATCATCATCGCTGTGGTCGAGATCAGCGATCAACCTCGGGTGCGAATACCGGTTGAACCATTCCATGTAGTAATGGTCACACATGGGAGTAACCCCAGAGGGCGGCCGCTGCAACTCCGCTGTCCATAATCGAGCCACCATCGGAAACTGGTCCCATGTCCCGGTCATGATATCCGGCCATTCCACGACGTACTCCCTCGACGATGCAGGTCGGACCGCCTTCATCGGGCACGCCGGGGGAGGAGGGACAACTTGGACAAATCCAAGTTGGCGAAGACAACGCTGGGGCATGTACGCTTCGACGATGTCACGATACTGAATGACTCCTGTGTACAGGGTCCTGGGTACCCTAACACTAGGGTTCGGGCCGAAAGGCATCCAGTTCACCTGTACAATTACAACATATAAAATATAATAGAATGAATATAATATGTGCAAATAATAAAATGTAGACTCTATAAATAAACGTTACCTCTAAGGGGGACAGCCTGTCCAGCAATAACCGTATCGATCGGAGGCGGTCAACGGACTTCTTCTCCGAGCGGGGACTTCACGCACAAGCACGCGGCATCCCCTCATCAATAGGAACTGGGTCACGATGTGGTCGCAATGCAGGAAAATACTCGTATATCCAAGTCTGCAATAGAGTCAGACACCCATTGATACCTGCCGCGTCAGCCCGACTCGCAAATCCTAGTTGGCGATACAAATACGCCAACGTAGCCGATCCCCAGGAAAACTGGCCTACACTGTCGGGGTCACACGCCTCTACGATGTCGCGTGGCCTGAGCTTGTTTCCGCCGCTCTTATCCGGAAACAAGGTATGTTTCGGGGTTTTCTGATGTCCTGCGGGAGAGTTACAATTCCGAGACTGGAACCGGACGCCTGTACCTGCAAAATAACGGAGACTCCTGAGAGCTCCGCCTCCAACGGTCAAGTTAGTACCTGATTAAGGAGTAATTAATACGGAAATTAAAGTAATAAGATCTCTCTAGGTGAGAGTGTTTAATGTTGGTAATCTGCGTCGTTAGCG